GAAACCTGAGGCATGCTTCACACATTCAGCTGGATCCACGCTGGCTTTCCTGGCCACTTCCCAAAGCCATGGGCTGGTATCGTTTATGCCATCTTACCGCTGCTTGCTAGCACTGCGTCTATGCCTCCTGCCTTCCCCTTAGCCCAGTCAGTCAGGGCTTTGGGGAGGAAAGAGGCTCGGAATTTTTCTGTGCGTGTCAACATTAACACTGACTGCATAATGGAAACTGGGTGCATCCTAATCCCCTCCTTCAAGACAATGGCACTGAACATACATCAGCTGGTGAAAGCAGCAGCAATGCATGGCACTCTCCTACCCTCAGAGCCAGAGAGTGGTGGATGTGTTCAAAATGCTGTGCCCCAGCAATTGCCAGTTTGAGGCTCAGAGCTGCAAAAAAAGCCCCACACCAAAACAAAAACCATCAGGACTAGTTACTTTCCTTGCCACAAACCCACCTTGGTAGTCTTTGTGCAACAACACTGCATGTCAGTAAGGGAGATTCCTGTCCCCATTTATAGGGCAGAGCAGCAGGAGGGCACCAGACAACTGGAGAAGTGGCTGCTTCTTTCCTCCTCGGCTCCCACTTATCTCCTCGGCTACATATTCCAGCTGCATGTTACAAGCCTCTTGTAAGTCTGGCAAAGCCTTCCACAGAGATAGCCATACTTGTCCCGGCCACATGCAGAGCTCCCCAAGGCTCAATAGCTTGCTATCTGCAGGTGCCAATATTATCTTTTAGTCTACATGAATTCAATCAGAGATACCACCTCCCCACCGATCCTGCGCAAAGTAACAGCAACACGAATCTCAGCCCTTTCAGTGAAGCCTATGTAACAGATGCAGCACATCACTTCCTGCCTAGATTTATTCTCAATACTTGGAGCGAATGCCTTAATTCAAATAGGCTTCAGGAACAGTGACTTTCAAACAATGCTCCTGGGAAACTGAGCTCTACAAAACACCTTATCTGGAACAAGCACATTCCGGGATACTGCTGCGGTTCGCACAGAGCCATGACAAAGCCCAGCAAGTCTGACATGATCCTCAGGGATGCTGAAATTGGGCATTTGCTCCCCATCCCAAAACATGAGAAGGCCCACCACCCCAAAAGCTTCTCCAGCTCTTCTTTGGCATGGAGTAGCTGAGGAAGCCATAGAAGTCTTGCTTTGCTCATTGACTTATTTTGCACATCCTACCCTTCACATTAAAGGGGGCAACTGAGGGTGTCTTGCTCAAGTTCCCCCAAATTCCTGGAGTCAGACCTGCATATACTTTGTGCAAACTCAACAAGCCCTTCAGAATACACTCCTGATTCCTCTTCCAGATTCGAAGGGATACCCAGTGCAGAAGTACGAAAAGCAATGTGATGGACCACCATTTTCTTGCTGTATTTGATCATTATATTTTTAAGTGCTGGATGCTGCATTTCAGAGATGGATCAAGTATTATGGTGATAAAACGGCTATCTTCTAACTAAGAGTAAGCATCCAGGTGCCTTTTATCAACAGTTTGCTGCCACAAGGAAAACACAAACCTTCATCTAGTGACCGTATCCTGTGAAATTCTGGTGTGGAAGACGGGACAGAGGAGCAACATGGACAGCACAGGGACCTTTTAATATCTAACAGGCTGGTAAGGGTTCCAGAGAGATGAGCAAAATGTTTTTCCAATCCCATTCTCAATACCTACAAGCCCAGTATTTTGCAGCCTCTGTGCTCCTTCATGTTAACAGCCCCCATGCAGAAGCACTAATCTAGACTCTTTTAAACAACAGACCAGAACTGAGGGCTTAAGTGGCAAGGCAACTCACCCCCGCACCCCCCAGGCAGTGCCTCGCCCATTTTGTGAACTTGTTGTTTTTAATCTTTCTACTAGCAGTTCTGTTTCTCTGGAGACTGTCCACTCCCTCCCTCCCAGGGCAGTGAATACTTCTTGTCAATTTCACTTCCCCATCCATTTCAAGGAACAAAACTGAAATTGACAAGGGGACCTCCTGCCCCTGCCAGAAATGAAGGAACTTTTTGTAAGGCCAAGTTTTCACCCACAACTTTCAACATGTGAGTCAAAGTCATTTTACATCTCCATCCCTTCTGTTCTCTTTCCTCATGCAGCCAAGTCAGATCTTCCACATTGTCTGCTGATGTGGATGTGCCCACTAACAGCCCTTTACCGGATTCCTTCACCCCATGCTGGGATTTCGCTGTTTTCTCATCTCCTATCTGCTCTTCCCCTGAAAAGTGGTGTTTTAAAAAAAATTAAACCACACAAACCTCCTGTGGTGCTGTTGTTCATTCATTCACAGAGGTTTACAGAAAAAGGAGGCATATACGCATCGTATTTGATGCTGAATAAAGCTCTTGTGTTCTCATACCTCTTGTTCTTTTCCTTAACCCGGAAAACCTGAAGTAACCTGCGCCTGGTCAGCAGGACGAGGGCCTACTGTCTGGAAATACCCCCAGTCCACCTGAGGTCTATTTACATCCCATCTATGATTCATAGCCCACCGACAGAAGATCAGTGGTTTAGGATGGGGTGAAGAATCTGCAGGCCTCTACTTGTTACTGGGTTTTAGCTCTTGCTACCCCAACCCTTCACCAAGCTGGCAAGTGGGACTAACAAGAACTGAAACGCAACTGCAGCTGGTGCAGCACCCAAGAGCTTGTAGTTTCCTGCAGTTCAAATAAGTTCTCCCATATTAAGAGGAAGAGAAGGGTGCACAGCAAGCATTTCTCTCCCCTCCACAGCAGAGTTCACGCGCTCTGAGCATGCAAGCAAATCACTTGGCTGCCTGCAGCAAACAGGGATGTCTTTGTGAAGGGAAAGAAATAAACCTTTACACCCCATCCCACCCTCTTACAGCCATCAGTATGCCACAGATTGCTGCTATCAATAAGTCCAGACAAGTGGGCTAGCATTCTGTGGGTCCACTTGCAAGGCAAGCTTGGGCTGTATTTTACTTTCTGTGGGGCTTGAGAGAAAGACTGCCCTTTTCATGAAATCTTGTTCAGGATCAAATGGGTAAGAAAATGTTTCTAGTTATTGACTGGGTTGTGGCCTCTTGCAACCTGCCACCTTTCTACAGTGAGTGATAGAAAGGCAGCCAGGCATGTATATCTGCATTTATCTGACATGCTAGAATGCAATGTACATCCCATTTGCCAGTTGTTAATAATTTCCCAGGTCCACTGACCCATTGCAGGCTGGTTGCTCTTTTCCTTCACCTCTGCTTAAGAGGTTTCCATGATCTTCACTATTCAGACTACAGAAATACTTCCTCCAGGATCCGTTTCTCTGATTCAGAAGAGAAAGGGAGGAAAACACAGGTTCATGTCTGTGATTCAGCACAGAAAGGGCTTTATGATCACTGCCTGGGTGGTAGCTTAGCTGAAAGATGGAGGCATAGTCAAGACAATCACCCAGATAGCTTCATAACCCCAGAAGGAATTTGAACCTGATCTTTTAAGTCTTGCACCAGGCTGGGCGGGCCCTCGGACTGGAAACCCACTTTAGGAAGACCAAAAAGATGGAACAAAGGAAAAGAGCTCAGGACAGACATACAAATTCCCATTCTAGCAGCACATCTAGAAACTTAGAACGCCTTACCAGAGGGGTAACTGCTCCAAAACAAAGCCAGCCATATCTTGGGAAACAGGTTATAATTTCAAGAGCTCTCTTAGCAGCCAGTCATCTCCTGCTGTCCCTATCCCACCCATGAGAAGATGGAACCAAAGGAAGGAGGAATTTGACAATTGAGGCCTGTGCCCCAATTTATAATTTTCCTTAATGGCCCCTCATCACTATCCAATCTTCCGGCATTGCTCCCAGAAGAGGGATACCTCACGTGCTGCCAGAAATGCTACAGCATCAGAAACTTTCCCCCCCAATCAACACAGTCCCTCTGGAGTTTATGATAAACACCCCCAAGTTGGGCTTGCTGCCTTCTTCCACCCCTCAGGTGTTTGAAGGTCTTGAGAAAGTTCAAATGGCTTTAAGAGGAAGAATTCACCACCTGCAACTCCTCACATTACAGTGCAGCTGTGCTGGAGCAAATTTTATCTTCTACAGTCCTTGTTGCAAAGCACTGGAGCTCCATTTTGTGGGCCTAAAATCACCAATCCCAAATCCACATCCTGTTCATTTCAGGGCTTAGTGTTCAGCCTTCCCAATGCCTTCTCAGAGGTGCCTATTCCAGTATGCACACCCTGCAGAAGAGGCCAAGGAAAGCGCCTTCCAGCAGGCAGGCTAGAGAGATAAAGGCTTACCCAAAGCTACTACCCTATCACTTTCATGACTTCAATTATTTCTGCCACTCGGGGGCAAGATGGTCCCAGATAAAATCCAGAAAAGCTGTAGTAAGAAGGCAGGGGCATCTGCAAGTACAGAAGCACAGCTTGCCTTTTCCCCTTCAGGCAAGCCACACGGTGGCCCGGTCGCTCTTGGTAGCCAAAAAGTTCAAGGCCCCTACCCAGTGCACTCCTGCTCATGAGCAGAGCGTCTTGTACCTCTTGCATTTGGGCTGATAGAAACGTTCATCCCCCCACTGCTTCGCCCCTGAAAAAAATTCCTCACCTGTCCCCTTTCCAGGTAAGGCCTGCAGGCACAAGGAAGTCCAGGTGACCAAAGCAAGAGTACCCACTGCCCCACTAGGACCTGTTTACAAAAACTCACAACCACTTCTGCAGGGGGCCCACTCACCCCCTTGGAAAGAGAAGGGCACAATGTGCCTCAAGTCCCCCAAAAAATTCAACAGTGCCTCTGCCCATAGCAAGAGCAGTACCCCCCCCCCATGGCAATACCACCTGCCCATCTGGCCCACCCACCGCTGTCAAACGCAAGGCAACCCAAGTTTCTCTCAGAAGACCAAGCGTGTCCCTGCACATAGTAAGAGTGCACCCGGGCTTGCAAACCCTTGGCCACTCTTGGGAACAAGTCCACCCGACCAAGCGCGCCCCTGCCCGCGTCCAGAGCGCCCGCCGCCCGTGCCTCGGCCCGCCACTCACGGCGCCTCCTGCCCGGCCGCGTCGCCGTCGTCGGGCACCAGGAAGCCGAACTTGTCGACGCGCCGCTCCCCGTCGCTGCTGAGGCTGCCGCCGCCCAGCGAGCTCCGAGAGTCCATCTCGCCCGGCGCCGCCGGCGCCTCCTCGTCGTCGTCCTCGGCCAGCGGCGCGCGGGGCGCCGAGCCCATCCCGTTGGCGTGGGCGGCGCCGGCAGCGCTCGCTTCCCCGTCGCCGCCCGCGCCGCGGCTCTTCGCCATCGGCGGCCCCCTCAGCGGCGGCCCCAAAGAGGAAGGCGCGCCACCATCGCCCTCGGCGCCCGCGGACAGCCGCCTCAAGAGCCGCTCCGGCCGGGCCGCGTCTGCCCCGGCCGCGCCCGCCGCGCCCATTGGCTGAGCCACCCCCGCGGCCCGCCCCTGCGCCGCGGCCATTGGTCCTCGCTCGCGCGAGGGACGCGGGCCGTCTGCACTCTCGCCAATGGGCGGCCCCGCGACTCCGGAGCGCCGGTGCGCTTGAGAGAGAGTTGGGGAGAGCGGGGGAAGGAGGGCGGCGGCGGCGGCAGCAACGCCGTTGGCCGCGCGAGCCGCCAATCCAGCACCTCGGGGCCCGCCTCCGCTTTACCTGCCCGCTCGCCTGACCAATCGCGCGCTTTTCCCTCGCCTCCTCCAACAAACTCCACTTGGGGTATCCTCAGTTTAAGTTCAGTTCCTCCCCAGCATGACACACTTTGCAGTGGAAACTCGCGTTTTGCAACGGAGGGAGGGGAAGGAGATTTTCCAGTGCTGCCACTCGACGCGTGCAGAACAGCAGCAAATCAGACGGGGCTTCCTTTTCTCCCCTGTCCGAACATGCCCGGGACTGCTGCGACCTGCAGGGCTTTTTTCGGTCGAAACGTGCACAGGATCGCTAGGTGGACTGCTGATATTAAGGTCTCCGACTGGAAGAAAGCTGTAGCATTCCTCTCCACCTTTAAGAGCGATGTAAATTATCCTGCTGCCTTTCTCTGTTCGATGAGGCTTCACATAGCATCTGAACTTCCTCCTAGGCAGTAGTTTATAAGCCGCCCTGGGATGGCTTCTAAACCCCTCCGAGGAGCCATGCCTTGGGGCTTTATTAACCCCTGCCCCCTAAAGCGGGTGGGTGAGAGTGTGAGGTCAGGAGTGGTTGTAAACCACGCTGGGGCTGAAAGGCTGCGGGGCCAAAAGGGCCCAGGGGCTCAGGCCAATGACAGCTTGCTGTCCTTGGTTTCCCCTATGCTCCCACCGGTGCCCGGACAACGGCATTCCTCATGAGCAAATCCGACGCTTCTCCGCCACTGGCAGGAGCACTTGGGGGGGGGGGGGGGAGCTGCTGGGTCCTGCCATGTGCTGCCAGCTCACCCACTTTGCCCAGGCTTGGTGCCCCTTGTCTGTGGAAGATGCCCAACTCGCTCCCTCCTTTCCAGCTAAATCCAGAGTAGCTGCTTGTTTTAAATTAGCAATCCATGTGAGGATGCAAACACAGAGACCCGATCCATGCAAGACAGAGGGTCTCCTGGTTGGCTGAAAGGCAGAGCAGGGGTTTGAGCTGTGGGTTCTGTTTCCCCACGAGACTCAACTTGCCCTTCGGATCTCCCTGGAGTCAGCCCTGAACCTGAACGACAGCTTTCGCTGGTGGCCGGGCGCGGGCCAGTGTGGCCAGCGCTGGTGCGCGGACTGCAGCCTGTTGGTAGAGAAATCCGATCTGGCCGCAGTTGCACCTAGTTACTCGTACGTCTTCTTTGGACTTCCTTATGTGCTGCCTGGGGCCAAGTTTTCCAAAACTTCAGCTGGCCCAGAAAACTGTAGCCGGACTGTTGCCCAGGGCAAAAAGGCTGTGATTCCCCTGTTACGACGTGTTCAACAGGCCTGCTTCTGGCACAGTTAAAGAGCCGGACGTTGCCTACATTTTATTTATTTATTTATTTATTTATTTTTCGATTTATATCCTGCCTTTTTCCTACGAAGGGCTCAAGGCAGCTTACATCTCCTCCTCCATCTTATCCCCACAACAACAACCCTGTG